ATTGCCTTTATGTCAGTTTACAACAGGGGTAAGATTAATGGCGATCTTTGATGCATCCTCTGCTGTCAGTGGTTTCAAAGATCTCGCGCCTTAAAAGGATCAGTTTCTGAAGGTCAAATAACATTTTAGCAAAATTTCCATAAAACATGAGCACTGGTTTGTTGTTATAATTTTAGGGCGAAATTCAAAAACGCCTTGACATCAGTATTTTTCCAAATTTAAACATGACAGATATATCTAAGGTTTTGTAGGCAATCCAAATTTGTTGAAAGCCGGGTGTGATCTAGTTGCTCTCACCATTGAAAACTGAAAATAGCGGTGGTTAGAAACAGCAGAATGGTCATTTCCGACTTATTATTCGTCAGCAGCCAGAAACATCCCAACCCGAATCGTGTGGTCATTGAGCATGCTAGTCCACGCTCCGTCAACGTAAGCTATCAGGCTCACTCTTTGTCGGCTAAGATGGGGGACATATAAATTCGCATAAAAATAGTGCTCGCCGATGTTTCCTGGTAAATGTTAAAGTACCGCAGGCATCACAAATATGAAGCAAACATGCTGAACATACCGGGTGAGTCTCTCACACAGGGGGTCCTAGTGTGAGGGGGTCTGCTCTCAGAAGGGTCCGGCCTGTCCATAGATCCCATCGCAGATTTACCCTTACCATCCCCTTCCATCGAGTGGCGCGACTTTGGAGGCAGAAGGAAGTTAACTATGACATAGAAAGAAAGGCTTTTATGATGGTAATCGAAGTCACATGTGCTTTCCTCTCTAAACTTTATGGGCCCTAAGGAATTTGGAGTTCCAAAGGCATAGAAGTTCAAATTGCCTGCACGGGATGAAACGAGAGAAAAACCGGACAAGATAAAAGCACCGTGAGTTGGAAGTCAGCCTTCCATTCCCAATTGCCTGTGTAATTAATAAAATTATTGAGACCGAAAATCTTGCTAATGACGTTGATGCCCGTGGGAGAGCCACTGCTATTGTCGATAATTTAATTGCCTTCATTGCTGTTGCTATTACTGCTGATGTTAACGAAGATGATGGAGAAGCATACTGTTGATGCTGCCGAGGACGCTGATGGTGATGATGATGATGATGATGATGATGATGATGATGATGATGATGATGATGATGATGATGATGATGATGATGATGATGATGATGATGATGATGATGATGATGATGATGATGAAGACGATGCGGGCAGTAATTGTAACAGTGCTGATGGCGGTGTGTTTGGTGGACAGGTTCGCGACTGTGATGATGCTGATGGTGGTTTGGTTCCTGTCGCCTCGTAAAGCGGAATATGAGTTCCACTTTTATCACATTATCTCCTGCTTCCTTACGCATGCATGAAATGTCCCTTCGTATTAATGCACGCACTGGTCGACGTGGTTGGACGTGAGAATCGTGATTTCTGAAGGAAGCAGTCACTTTTACATTTGCTTAACCTATGTATTATTCTAACAGAATTTACCATTTCATGCACAGATTCCAAAAAGCGCACAGAACGGAAGTTGGCGCTTTAGCTTCAAACATAAAGCACGGACAGTCTTAATTATGCCTTTTAACTCGCTTCTCTCTTGCATCACATGTGCGTATGAATGACTTGATACCACGAAGAAGTTGCAGTGAATCAGGCCCGGTTTTCAGTCATTTTTCGGGCAGTTTCCTTTTAGTGATCACTGTTCGCCTTGTGATGACCTATAGGGATCAGTGTTTGGTTAAAAGTTCGAACGAACACGCTTCGCTCTAAAACGTAGAAATGATTGTTTCCGATCCTACTCGTTACAACACGGTTCTACAGCTCAGCTATTAGTAGAATGCCAACGAAGTAGAGTGGGACTGGGATTAACATTTCAAGCTAAGTAGCCCTCACGAACCACCCCTATCCTAAACTAAGGTCCGGATAACTTGGGGCTTGAATCTACGCCTTTTATAGGTTAGGCCATAAGTTAAATGCCCTACCGTTAAGTCCGGGCTCGAGCCAAAGATTATCCAGACCTGCTGTTGGGATGAAACTAGTTGACGTCGGCTGATAATCCAGAAATGGCCACTCCAATCCCCTTCTGCTCACAATTCCTGTCTTCGTGCGATCGAGTGCGATGGTTATCGTCAGAAATCCAGTATAAAACATGACTGACATTTTTCGCCATGCCTGGTGGAACACCTATTCCACAGGAATCTGTGATTAGAATTGAAATTCAATTGCTGATTGTCAGCAGCTAAACTCGGATCTTTAGCATGCGAATTGAGTTTCCACCACCTCTGATACAGTAGGTGGGCTAACTCATGAAACGTCAACCGAAATTCCGAAATGCGTATTCGTTTCGAAAAGATGAATAAAATAGGGTAGTAAAATGCATCATCCTGCAGCATAATCCTATAATAATTCGGTTACCTCAGCATGCCGGCTATCAAACGAACTCTTTTCCGGCCGCATACAAAAACTATACTCCGCAAAAAGTGACTATTTAAGTGGCATGCATTTTTCTCATTGATTTTCGATGCCCTTAAAAATTCAATCATATTTCATGGAAAACATGCATAAAAATATTCATTCTCTTGCTCATTCAGTAGAAAATGACGTCTCCTTCAAACTTTGTACTCGAAAGAATTGTATAGACCGATTTTTAAAAAGTTTCTAATTGTGAGGCTTTTTAATACCGTGAAGTGGCCGTTCATAAAACGCCACGTCTCTGCATTAAGCAATGTAACTTGTAAAGTTAACAATATGGCTTAAATTCACTGCCTGATTTTATTAACCTAATATGGTTTCCTATTAATGCCGTAGAGAAATGCATGTTTTTCAGTACGTGGAATGTGTACGGTTCGTAGTTTGGAAACCCTTAATGCAATTGTAACAGCAGGTTGGGTTCAAAATTATTCGGGAATTAGAAAACATTTTAAAAACCAAAGTGTACCCTTCCTGTGAGTATCAGATTGAAAGAAGACGTCATTTTCTACTGAATGAGTGAAGGGATGAATATTTTTATGCATGTTTTCCATGAAATATGATGGAATTTTTAAGGGCATCGAAAATCAATGAGAAAAATGCATGCCACTTAAATAGTCACTTTTTGCGGAGTATAGTTTTTATATGCAGCCGGAAAAGAGTTCGTTTGAAAGCCAGCATGCTGAGGTAACCGAATTATTATAGGATTATGCTGCAGGATGATGAATTTTACTACCCTATTTTATTCATCTTTTCGAAACGAATACGCATTTCGGAATTTCGATTGACATTTCATGAGTTAGCCCACCTACAGTGGTATGGCGTGTTCTGTGGTGACTTCAAGGATATCCAACAAGTCCCTAGTGTTGGCTTAATTATTCAATCAGATAGGATGTAAGCAGGCGACCTTTACATTTTGTTCCCAGTGCTCGATACTTTTAAGGATTTCGTGAGAGTGGCATTCATTTGGCTGGCCTGATTGTAAGGAGGAATACCTACGCTACAATTTGCCTTAGAGCTCCAGGCCGGAATCCACGCACGTGGTTTCCGCAACAAGAACTCACTAATCCAGAGGCATTTCTAACGAAGGTTATAAAAACAGGACTGGGTATTCCTGGCTTATTTGCCGTCACCGGGCAGCTATACCTCAACTCCAGACCGGAGTGCTCCGTCTAAGAAATTGTTGTGACGCTCAAAGCTTCTGCCCTTGCCAATCGCCCCTCTTCACAAGCAGGCCAACACTTTCTGCATCCGCCACTCGCCCTCAGCACGTGCCTGAACGCATTTCCACTATCCTCCTGCCCATCAGAGTACGAAAAGTTATTCGTGCTGCGTCCATGGGCATTATCATCTGCCTGCCTGTCAAATCTCGTCTAACCTCTGTCGGATTTGCTTGCTTCGACTAGCGGACAATCACACCCAAGAAATTGACGATAATCCTACAACTTCCGCCTTCTACAACAGACGCTCGGTGAATACACAGTCGGTGGGGAAATAAGTCTGATTTGATGCAAAGTATAAAAAAGTCCTGCATTGTGCACCGGCGTGCGTCCGCTGCATGCTGTGGCCTATTCGACCTTTTTGATCATAGCAGAGGGCTCCTATAAACTGCCCTATTTTAATTTTCACAGGAATTAACAAGGGCAGCGTGGAAACTAGAGTTCATATACCAGAAAGCGCACGGGTAAACTAGTGAGCCGAGAACCTCGCAGCTGCGTCACAAGCGACGCAAGATTGACAGCGCATGCGTGTCCAGGCTTTTAGCTGGTACTTTTGCTCTCAGTATGCTAAATTCTCCAGCGCCTCTTATAAGCTTTTATATGAGGTATTTAATGCTCCACGATCGTGTTTTGGTGAAATCCCTGAGCATGGATGATATATTACTTCCTTCAGTGAAGAAGGTATTTGGCGCAAATGACCCCACCCTGCAAATGGAAGGGTTGACTTTTGCATCAATATTAGAGTCAACACCAATAAGATCAACGACATCCTGAGGGGCAGGATAGTTTAATAATATCCATCCGAATTTTCATCATCAACTTAACCTGAGTTTCTACCATCCTTGATACGCATGCACGGTAACAATCGGGAGATGGCACCCAAAAAATCCGCCTAACCATAGCAGCCTGTCTTACGGGAAAGGTGGTAATAGGCGTTTTATGGGTGGTGGCTGGTCGGCATGTACGATACTAGCCGACGGAAAGCCTTATTTGAACAGGTGGATGATCGAAGTTGGCCCGCTCTCCATTCCGTTACTACAAAATAGGTCGCCAAAGGCAGTATAGTAGTAACGGACGAGTGGAAGGCGTATAATCGTCTTTCCTCAGAAGGTTATCTACATTTCTCTGTTAACCACTCAAAGAACTTCAAGGACCCTACCACCGGACGGCACATCAATGCCATTGAGGCATACGGGAGAGGACTGAAAAGGAAACTCCATGAGGGAGGCTCTGTATGTGGTCGAGCCGTGTGGGCTCACATAGACGAAGTACAGTATCGTCTTTGGTTTGGCCTCAATGGTACGTCTTTGACAGATGCCTAGGAACTATTCCTGTCCCATTTTTTGCAGACTTCTCCTATTTAAAAGTGATTTTGTTTTGTAATAAACTGTCATAATGCGAATGTATAGTCAGGTATACGTGTTTAACGATGGGAAAGGTTGAGTAACAGCGACCATCGTCCATGTAAGCTCCTCCGGTGTTCGTTCGGCCAGCCCATGTAAGGCCGTCGCGGAAAGTCCAAGTAGTGTGTGCAAGTAGGCCTGCAACCGCTGAAATAGCCTGAAGGCGTTCGAGTCCACTGGTAAAGGTATTATTTCTAGGTAACGGTTTTTTGGGTGCCATCTCCCGATTGTTACCGCACATCCTTCAACTATAGATGCCGATCGCACTTCTTTACGGTGACGATAACATCTTGATCAATATAACTCTTTCCACAGAGTTCGCTTATGAAGATAGCAGGTTTGCATATCCAGCCAAGTGTTTCTTTATCGGATGTAGGAGGCCGATCATTCTTTTCCTCCTATGCAATCAAGCTGGCATAATTTCTTCAGCAACGTGCAAATAATTCGGTGAAAGTCTGTGGTATTAACCCAAATAACAAAAGTTAGTCGATCTTTTGATTTCATTTTCCCCTGGTGGTTCGCCAGCCTGTATTCAGCAACATCAACTTATAAGGAGGCAGAATTCTGAAACGTGGAGCAGTTTCACTCATAATACAAACGCTCTCGGGTTTTTTGTCTGACTCTGTCTCTGTTGACGGATTCGAGTGTGAATCCGAAACGTTCGGCTAATAAAGCACTTGTTCCAGCGATCGTATTTCCTTCTCCGCTCTCAGGTTTATATTCCAATGCCACTAATAGGTCAGGACCAGCTTTGTTAACGTCAACTTTTTCCGCAAATACAATTTTGCTTTGGGGCCTTTTCTGGATTTAGACTTCCTGGACCATTACTCAGATGCTTTAAAAGTGTTTAACAATACCCAACTTGCAAGAAAATTCGATAGTCTTGGCAATAGTCAAGGGAGGGAGGAATTCCATTTGTGTCGCTCTGCAAAGCTCGATCTAATTGCACAGTTCAGCTTCCAAAATAGGAAACAAATGAGGAATTTAACTAACTGTTGAACTTCTATTCTCCTCAGAAGAGCGGCGCCCTAATAACTGATCTAACCTCAGATTCTAATGTAGGTCAAAATCAGGCAACCTAACCGTTCATCGATTAGTAAACTCCGAGTACCACGTGTCAGGCCTCAGAAACGTTAACAGCCAGTCCTCTAGTGCGAGGTAAAATTGGCATTTGATTTGCTTTTGTAGCGCATTTGAGTGGATTTCAGCCTTTCAAAGCATATTTCTTCAGCTCCTGATGTACTAGCAACAAGTCTGGACTGCGCGTGTGATTCGAACCAGCGTTGATTTGTGTTTGATGTCGAGCTAAGTGTGTGGAGATGCCGTCGTGCGCTGCCATGCCGATTCAGACATTGTGTGATGACTGCAGAACAGGGGTGGCCTTGCAATGGAGCGATGGTACAGCAAGCGCCTTCGTAAGTATTCAATGGGTGGATCAGCCCGCAGCGGCTCGCACATATAAAAGTGCACTGACATGTCGCAATTCCGAGTTGTCACAGTCTTCTACTCGCGTCGTCACCGTCCTAGCAGCCCCTTCACAGTCATGCTACTGCCTGGAATGGCGGCACCTGACTTCAAGGGCACCGCAGTGATAAATGGTGAATTCAAAGAGATATCCCTCAAAGATTACAAAGGCAAATATGTGATCCTATTTTTCTACCCGCTTGATTTGTAAGTCTATTAATCGAATTTGATCCACCAAGGTTTCCAAATGTTTAAAGTAAAGTTAATAAGACCGTCACTTGACCGTTTTTAATGACTGTAAATGACTTATAGAGACAAGTTCAAGGCATAATATTTTAATTAAATGACTGTTTTTAACTTGTCAATGGTTTTTGATTTCGGGTTATTTACTATTCAGACTTCTCTAGTTAAAAAAGGCTGCATTACAAACTCCAGGCAACACAAGGTTTAGAAGAAGTTATATCTTACCTCGACTTAGATACTTTAGGGCCGTATAATTAATCGTTTGGGCTATACACTGAAATGTATAAGGTGAGGCCCAAGCCTCGTATGATTGCATACGCATTAATTTAAATTAGGTAGGGACAATAAGGCCGTCTCGTATAACCTTATTTACATTAGTACTACTTTACATGTCCAATTAATTTTGGCCGAAGCACCAGAAGAAGTTTATGTGAAAAGCTCAGTGATCGTTATCATTTAGCCATAAAGTTGCCTTTTTTGAAACAAAATTCCGTGACCTTCAACTTTAGCTAAGTATGTCAGTTAATTTATACAAATCCTTTTGAACTGGTCATACTTAATTTTTAAGGCGCATCAATCGAATGAAAGAGCATTTTAATATGAACATCTTCTCAACACCCTTAAAATGCACAGGTCTCAAGAAACACTGTCATAGTTTAACAGAGCGTTAGGAGTGGGCTTTTATCGAAATTTTCTAAAGCGCATCAAAACTAGGTTTACAATCAAGGTTACTCAAGTAAGTGAAGAAATTTCTTCACTGGTCGTGAGAAGTTCATGAACTTGTGTATGTCGGGAGTACGAATTTGTTTCCCAAAAATAGGCGAAAAAACAAAAATATTTTGATTTGCACACTTTGTTTCACCTGAAAGACCAGAAACTGAGGGTATTTTCTTGGTCTTCTGTTGGCTCCGGAAAAACTTATTCGAGTTTAAAACGCCAGCACAGTAACCTAGACATGACCAATTAACATTTTGAAAAGACCAGTAACGAGAGCTGTCCGGGGCTACACCTGTTCGTCAGGATACCTCCCTACCCACGGTTAAGGTTTAATTATCTCAGCTTCTAAAACTCAAGATGGCAGCAGGCAAACGCCTAGTCTACCTATAATTCCTTCTGGGGATTGCGAGTTTATTTTTGCAAATTCTCCCTTCTGTCTTCCTCTTTAGTACTTTTGTGTGTCCTACGGAAATCATCGCTTTCAGTGACAAGGCTGAGAAGTTCAGGAGCAAGGGCTGCGAACTGATCGCTTGCTCCACCGACTCCGAATACAGTCACCTGGCTTGGATAAAGACCAAACGCAGTGAAGGGGGTATTGAGGGTTTGAGCATTCCCGTTCTCTCCGATAAAAGCATGTCCGTCTCTAAAAGTTATGGCGTGTTGAACGAGGAGACTGGAGTTGCCTTCAGGTAGGTCCACTTTGCTCCCCAAGTCCTCATATCTATTCTTAAACTTCCAGAGGTTTGTTCATCATTGACGGCAAGGGAATTGTTCGCCAAATCACCATTAACGATTTGCCGGTTGGTCGTTCTGTTGAAGAGGCCCTGCGTCTACTGGAGGCCTTCCAGTTCACCGACAAATACGGAGAAGTGTGTCCTGCAAACTGGCGCCCAGGCAAGAAGGCCCTCAAACCAACGGAGAAGGGAGCAAAGGCATACTTCTCGGAGCACTGATTTAAGCATGTTTAATTGGCCGTTATGTTGAAAAATACATTTTTCTTGACGAAAAGTTTTTTGTCGCCGCTGTTAATCCCTGGACGACGATCAGCTTCTGTAGGTGTCGAAAATCTGGTCGGAGTACTTAAACGACAGATCACCCAGGATAATTGTGAGAAGAGATCTCTGGAGAAATTCTATTCCTCATAAGACGAGTCGAACAGTTGTGTCCATTGGCATTGCGCCATTGCCTGGAAAAAGTTAATTCGGTTAGATTGCACTTGGTTGCCAGGAATGGGGAGGCAGACGGCCTTCTTAACCCTAATCCTAACCTTAACTTTAACACTAACCTCAACCTTAAACGTTAACCGTTAACCCTAACGGCAACCCTAACGCTAACCCTTACCCAAATCGTAAACGTAACCGTAGCCCTTAGACGTAGCCGTAACTGAAAAGCCTAGGAGTAATACTGACACCGATTCGTACGCTCAAACCCTAACCGTAACCTGAAAACCTAAGCCTAATGGCATAACCCTAACAAGTCGAAAACCATTAACCGGTACCCTTATCCTAATCTCAAACGTAAAACGGAAGCAAAGGGGGTCAGATGTGATTATGGAGCCTCACAAAATAGCCCCAGTAAACAATCCCCCCAGCCACCTGTAATACGGGGCCTGGCCACCAACTGCGATCTAGCCGTTAATTCAACCAGGGTGGGCTGATAATCCTTTCGTCGGATTGAGAGGCTGACGAGTCATCAGACAGAACAGTCACTCCATGATTCCGACTAGTCTTCTCCGCCGTGACCACTGGCCACAAAGGAAAGTTGTCACTGTTGTTATCTCACCACTCAGATTGTGACAAACAATCAAGGCGGAAAAGTATGTGTGAAAATTGATCAGAAACAAGGTCTCTAAACTTGGAAAGCTATATTAAGTTCTATCTGATTTCCGTGCTCGGTCGAGTTGTTGACAATGGTAAACCCAACTACAGATAAAAGGATTTTGCTCCTTTTCCGTCTATGGCGGTCTACTCTACAAAATGAAATGTTCAAACGGCGAAACTTACCAATAAACCTCTAATTTCTATAGGCAGGTTTCACGACTGGGGGTTGGAAAAATGCATCATCTGTTCGCTATACTGGTCAGTTCCAAATAAGAATGAATTCACTCGTGCATGACCGAACTGGAACACAAAAGGTGCTGACAGTGAAATAACTGGGCAAAAATAAGTGCCTTCGGAGAGCCGCGAATAACACTTGTAACACAAACGGCAAATAAGTAGACTTCAAATGGTCAGAAACCTACTGGAATGTCTTGACAGCCGAACAGAAGGACTGAAGTGAAGATCTGAACAAAACCTCGAGTAATTTACTGTTAATGGAAAACCAATACCCAACTGTTCTATATGAAATCCTGAGAACTATGACACAGTTTTAGTTCGTCTGGATGTAGTGGAAAATGTAGGCTTCAGAACTTACAGCTTAGACGACCGTGACTTGTTTACTAAGCGGTTACATTTCAATACAAATTTAAGAGGTGAGTAATGAAGTGGGCAGGGGATTTCTACTGGCACAGGGTTCAATGTTTAACGTCTCCTCGATGTTGCATCAAAGTCAAGATGAAGATAAATGACATGTCCACACAGTATGTTTGTTATGGAACCAGCCGGGGTCAAGAGGCAACGTGAAGTTTTTGTGTATCCGACAGTGATTATGAGCAGAAAGGACGCAATCCAAAACTGAGAAGTTTTTGGATACTGAGATTTCGCACCACCGGTAGGCCGTATCAATCAGGAAAAATCACACGCTTTCGGGAAATGCGACCGAACACTCGATGGTTCGACCACGCTAAGCGACAAAATTCAGTACTGTCCCACGAGGTGAGATCAGCCGTAATTTGTACATGGATTTGGTCATAGTGGTGCACACTTTCGATGCATCTACCCTGATCCCTTTTAGGAGGCCCACCGCATTCGATGGTAAGACAAACTCAGGGCGACCACAGCTGCATATCCAGCCTACATGTACCAAACAAAAACTTGCCCCTAACTTTGCACACACCAGGCCGAATTTAGGGCCGTCTCGAATGTCATACGAGTTAGACTTCCGTAAACGCCATAGTGAGGGACAGCCATTGTGGCCTGTCCCATAGCCTAAAGTAAAACAGTGTTATCCTGTCCGTTAACACCATTTGAAACCACGAAGGCCAGCGCGTCGCGATCACTTGTGGTGCGCTCTGTGGTTTATATCGGGGAACCTGGATGCTGGAATCCGAGTGGGTCAATCCACCCCCGTCTTTTGCTTACTTGAAGCCTGTCCGAGTCTGTCAGTTGACGGGTTTGGTGACAGATGTGGCGTGAAAGTCCCAACCTACGACTGTCTCACACGTGCCGGTTCCTAATTCACGTCTTGCCATTCCACCATGGTTGAGCTCTGGATACTTACTCACTCAGTTGTGACTTAATCTGGGAACTGAGATCCAAATCTGGGAATGAAAGAAATTGCCCACGAACTTTTAAGGCGGGCTATTTTAATTCCTAAAACAAACCAGGATAACGACACCACAAGGAAACCTTCCATCAAAGGAATTATGTGATGATGAAACTGCTCGCACAAAGAGTAGTTGTAGGATTGAGAATAGCGTGTAGCCGCACCTATTGTCAATTCCCGAAACTTGCCTACTCATTTTGTTTAAGTAAGCATGTTTGTTGCGGTTTATCCGGCAAGAGATGGAGAAAGACGCTATGCAATAAGGCAACTTAACTCTGACAGTAATAGTAACGTTAAACCCAACTCAAACCTGAAGCCTCATACTTATAAAGACGACCTTAATGCTAGTCTAACTCCAATGCTTACGCCAAGCCTTTCTAATTAACTTGACCTCAAAACTAACTCCTGGCCTAATTCTAGTCCTATTCTTTACCGGTAACCTGTAATTCAGGTGGCTTTGCGCTAAACTGCAGGGCTATTGGGGTTAGGATTGAATTAAGGCTGGAGTTAACGTTATAATTATGTTTAAGGTCAATGTTTGGTCTAAGGCTGGGGTCAGGGTTAATGTTAGGGTTAAAGATTTAAGGTAATAGCTAAGGTTAGCTCCGAAGACACGTATAAGAGGTCCTACACTGTTTGCTAAGTCAAAGATGCCAGCAAAACTATGTGGCGCAGGACTGACTTTTTACCTCAGGAAAACACTATAACGGCTCCCGTGCTGACTACTGACTTCCATTTACTCCTTTTTGAATAATTTTCGCCTTATATTTCCTTAATTATAATTTTATGGAGGCTCGTTTATATGTTCCACTTCTGCCTTGTTTTCAGGCACTTTTTTTCATCACTTGATTAATCGTTCGCATTTGATTTCGTTTTGGTCTGCTGACTGCCCGTGCCTGGGCTAATCAACCGATTTCCTGCACCATGCCCCTTTCAAATTACACACCCGGTTTCCCAATGGTCGTTCATGTGCGTTAATGCAAATTTTTGACATTTCTTAGCGGGTTTTGTTGTCCATCGTTTCTTTTTGCACCATTCACGAAAAACCTATTATCACTGTTTGTGTACTTCAGGCGTCAACGCTCTTCGTTTTATGAGTCAGGGCCCGGGGACCATCCTAATTTACGCACAAACAAATTTCCGGCCACGTTCCGATTTGGTCATGGTTAGAGGAAAAATAACCCTTCAAACTTCATATGGCCTAATTTACATAATAGCGTGCAGAAAATGACACAACTGAATGAAGTTCACATTAATGCGCTGTTTCCCTCATCAATTCTCTTGAAATGAAGGGCAGCTAACAAGCGAGAAAACTAGGTTTTTGGCGGTTAATTAAAGTCGGAAACGAGAGTAACTACCCGTTAGTTTCATGAATAAAGTTAATGTAAAATTATGTTAAAAAATAACCAACAATCTAAGGTTCCCGTGAATTTGAATAAGGCATAGGCGACTAAGCATGCAGTATTTACTGACGTCATAAATTTCGAGACCTCTCATTCAGCTACGTACGGTCATTGCATATTTATGACAAGACAAATTGTTCAATCAACGATCGACCTAGAGAGATACAACGTGATAGGTAACCTGAAACATGGGTCTAGTGTGCGGGTGCATATCGCGAGG